CAGATGCAGGAGACACGTTGGGGCAGGGCAGGGCAGGGCAGGGCAGGGCAGGGATTCACGCCAGACCCCGAGAACAGGGTGCCCCAGCCCAGCCACGGCTCTGTCCGACCTGCTCTTTGCAGCTGGGGATGGACGCTCCACTGCCTCTAGGTGCCAGCTACAGGTCCTGCCCCCCGAGGACACCCCGAGGACCCTCGCAAACACCTCCAGGGGCTTGCTGCCACAAGACCCCGGGAGCTGTCAGCAAGTGGCTCCGTGTCTCTGGCAGGGTCCCCGGCTAGTTTCCCCCCCTTACTGGTCCCATGTACTCAGTCCTACTGGTCCCAGTTCCTTTCCTTACTGGTCCTATCTACCCAGTCATACTGGTCCCAGTTCCTCTCTGCTTACTGGTCCAAGTTTCTCCCTGCCTTAGTGGCCCCAGTTACCTGGTCATACTGGCCCAAGTGCACCCCCACTGCACTTACTGGACCCAGTTTTACCCTGCTTCACTGGTCCCAGTTACCTGGTCATACTGGTCCCCATTCCCCCCTGCCTTACTGGTCCCAGTTTACTCAGTCATACTGTTCCCAGTCCCTCCTCTCTACTAATCCCAGTTCCCTCCCTCCCCCTTACTGAACCCATTTACCTGGTCATACTGGTCCCTGTCTCCCCCACTTGCTGGTCCCAGTCCCCCACAATACTGTTCCCATTCACCAGGTCATACTGTCCCCAGCTCCCCCTATACTGGTCCCATTTACCTGATCATTCTGGTGCCAGTTGCCTCCCCATACTGGTCCCATTTACCCAATCATACTACTCCCTAGTCGCCTCCCCATACTGGTCCCATTTACCCAATCATACTGGTCCCTCCCCCATATTGGTCCCATTTACCCACCTTCATATTTGTCCCAGTAAGTCCCATACTCGTCCCAGTCACCTCCCCATACTGGTCATACTTATCCCACTACCCTGCATACTGATCCCAGTTCCGCGGTCACACTGGCCCCTGTCCCTCTCCCATCCTGGTCCCATTACCCCCATCATACCGGTCCCAGTTCCTTCCATACGGGTCCCAGTCGCCTGCTCATACTCATCCCACTACCCCGCATACTGGTCCTAGTTCCCCGGTCATACTCGTCCCCGCTGCCATTCCCCCATACTGGTCCCAGTTCCCCGCGATACTGGCCCGGCGCGTGCCCCACTCACGGCGGCTCCGCTGCGCTGCGCTGCGCTGCGCTGCGCTCCCCGGGCCGGCGCAGCGCTACATGCCCGCGGGCGGCGGAGGAGGGGTGTCCCTCGTACGTCTGCCTGCACCCAGAGATGGACCTCGCCTGCCTGTGCTTCTTGCAGGGGTGAATCACCCCGATTCCCGATGCACAGGCAGGACCCTCTCACTCTTCTGCTCAATAGCGACCGATGCCCCTTCCCTCCAAGGACGTGTCCAGTCCGGCTGTGAATCTGGCCAAACTCTCAGCTCCCACCGCATCTATGAACCTGGTGACCACGGGCCCCCATTTTCATGTCACGCTGGGTGGAAAAGAAGTGGTGTTGGTTGTAGACCGATGACCTGCTCGGTTCATGCCGCGCCCCTCGTTCTTGAATGGTGAGAGACAGGCAATAATCAATCCCTAGTGACTTGCTCTTCACCGCTTAATATTTACACACGTCCCCCCCTCCTTAAAACCCCCCTGTGCCCTGATGCCTGCAGGGCTCAAGCTGCAGGGGTGCTGGGATCCCTGCCTGCTAGTAATACAAGACCTCCCTGGACTCACCCCTTGGCTCTCTTCCTATGTGGGGAACATCAGCTGTGCAGGGCCAGGACTGCCGAGCCGCTCCATGTTTGCACAGCGCCTTGCACACTGCAGTCCTGCTTTGGGATTGGGGCCTCTGGGGTACCACAACACTCAGGAACAGCCACACCAGTAACCCCAAGGCTGCTGCCTCACCCCACAGCTGGCAATGGCCAAGGAGGTACAGAGAGCTGCCTCTCACTCTGCACATGAAATGCTGCCCATGTAACCAAGCTGGGGAAAGGGCAACGTCAGCATTTGAACCCAAGACCTTGGTTTATTGCTCCAGCGCGAGGAGCACGAGGAGTTTGCAATCCACTAGTGAACTGCACGCTCTGTGCCAGTGCCTTGGCCCCTTTGTTTGTAGATGGTAGCAGCTCAGAGGCCCACAGTCTGTGCCCTGTGGGCAGGAAGGGTCCCTCTGCAGCCGCCCTGGCTACGAGGTCCTCATGGGGGATCTCAGATCCTGGCTCTGCTGGGCAGTGTGCGGCGGTGGGGGTACTCCAGCAACACCACCCACATTTCCACCAGCATGGCTGGCTGTTTCCAAGCTCGGGGGCAAATCCCTGCACCCTGCCCAGGCACGGGGGAAGGGGGTCTGCTGTCCCCATGGAAGGCATGAGCTGGGTTTCCCCTTCCTGCATCTGGGGCTGTGAGGGAGTGGGGCATCACGGAGAACTGGCATTGCAGCGTGGAGCACTACACTGTGCTGGGTAGGTGAACCCCTCTCCTCCATCCTCAGTGCTGGCACCTTGGCACTGCCCCTCTGCACAGTGGCTGAGCTTCACTTTTCCAGGCTGGACCCAGTGCTGTCCCCCTACATGAGAGCCTCTTCCAGTGCCAGGGCATTTGGGACATGAGCAGATGGTAACGCCTTCCTGAGGGTCCAGCCCACAGCCAGCAAACTAAGGATGTGCACTCCCAGACCCTTGTCCTGTGGTCCAGGGTGTCCCCAGGCTCCTGCAGAGCATGGAGCAGGCGCATGGACTGCCCTCCCCAAACAGCCCTGATTCCCGGAGTCTGGGCTGTCTGCTCCTCACAGACCTGCTTGCTCAAAGCACTGGAAATGCTCTTGCTAGAGACTCTGCAGCTGCAGCGAGCACAGCTGTGTTTAGTTCAGCTGGGTGGTGCAGCGGGCTGGGCCCTGCGCCCTTCCCAGGGGATGGGAGAGAGAGGCCTGCCTGTTTATTTTAGTTCCCTCCTTGTCCCAAGAGCCCATGAGGATAATTGCAATAATATGAAGGATAACAGCAGGGCAACGTGGGAAAGTGCAAGACACCCCGGGATCTCTAGGGATCTGTCCCTGTCCCCTGAGTGAGATTGGAACAGGAGGCTTGGATGGCAGACTGCTGCCTGCCTGCGTCCTAGCCCTGTGCAGCTAGTTGCAGCTCAAGCTACAGTTCCCTGCCGCAGTTAGAGCAGTCTCAGGGCTGCTCCGATTTACATACTGTTGTCCCTGGCTTGCTCTAACTTCCATGCAACTTAGAGCAAGACAAGGCATGGGATTGGGAGCAATGAGCCCACTTAAGAACACTCCCAGCTCCTCCCCATCCCCAGTCCTTGGCCTTCCCAAATGCATCCTGCTCCGTCATGTACAAGGGACACCACAAACACAGCACCCCGGGAACCTAGCTGTCCTGGGTGACCCTGCAAAGTTGTGCTGCCTGCCTAGTGCAGCCCAGGCTGGGGTGCAGATCCCGTTGCAACCACAGCCATCTGGGCCAACGTGGGGAAAGAGGGGCAGGGAAAATGTGGCCAGAAGCCAGCCTACCCATACCCCAAATCAGCTGCACAAGGCATCACCCGCCAACCTGCAGGCAGCAGGTTTAAGTGGGGCCCAGAGGATTCCCAGATGTGGCGCTCAGTCACTGGGGTTGCCTGGCATTGGGGGCTGCAGAAAGCAGTGCACAGCTGTATGCATTGGACTGGGGAACACCAGGCCTCAGGAGCTGCCTCATCGCTCAGGACTATGGGAGAAGTTTCCAAGGGACTCCACAAGCAGGTAGCAGCAGGAGGTTGTTATCCACCATAGGTGGGCACATGAGGGCACAACATGCTAATACTCGTGTGTTAGACTAGTGGAATTTTTCTTAGGCGGGTTTTGGGAAAGTCTCCAAATCTCCATACTCCAAGCCTCCTTAGGGTCACAGACACCAGGGTCCTGAAGAGCTATGCCCCAGGGGCTCCGATCCCTGCTTTTTGCCCTTCACCTGCCCCCCACTTTGAGTCCCAAAGGTGCTGCTATTTGGCCTGGAGTGGCAGCTTGGGGCTATCGAGCCTGGTCCCTGCTCACACAGCCATCTGCATCCAACATCCCCTTCTATAGCCAAGCCCTGTTGTAAACCCAGTCCAGGTTTCTTGACACTGTAACTGCTCTCAAGGGGCTGCTCCAGAAAAAAACTCCCGGCTGTTGGAAACCCCCTCCTTTTTTCCAGCCCAGTGTGGCTGTGCAGGCTGGAGGGAGCCCCTGGAGACACTGGAAGGGCCTGCTCACGGCCCAGCCCCAGCCACAGAAGGAAGCTCAGGGACTAGGACTGGAGGCCAGCTTCCCACCACCTGCCCCCAGGAGAAGGGAAAGTCTGCAAGGCATTTCTCACCTGGTCTCCAGCTGAACCTGCTCCAGAGCAGCCATCACTGGGGCTCTTGCTTCCTCCCTCTCTGAACCAGAGACATCTCATAGCAGCTGGAGGCAGCAGGACAGAGCAACATTTCCATTGGGAGGATGCCGATGAGGGCCAGCTGGCCCCCACCTCTGATCATATTTACCATCAGACATAATTAACATGGGGGGCTGCCCCAGAGCCTTTTCTTTGCATCTATCCAGGGGGTATTTATACAGCTATTTCTGTGCCTGAAGTTAAGATGGGCATCAAATACCCAATCCCACAGCCCCTGCCCTGAAGCATTTTGGTAACAAAGGGGCAGGCTGGCTGGGGGTACCCCAGAGACAGGGTGCAGTGTTCACAGTACCCCCCCAGGGAAGGGGGGTGAATGTACTGCATTGGCTGAGCTGGCTGGGTGTGTAGGGCTGGCTCCCTCATGTCCCCACAGCAGCTCTGGCCCCCCTGGTGATTTGCAGACAGCTGGGAAAAGGCTGGGAGCTGGTACCTGCAGCTGCAGGGAAGCTCACGGCAGGTTCAATAGGGCTCCAGCAAGCACCTCTCCTGAGCAGAGCCGGGGCTCAGCATTGGCATCGCTGAAAATACTAAGCCCTTCCTCAGCTCGGATCCAGCTACCTCCAGCTGCCAAGGGAACCGGCCCAAGGAGAGCTGTCTCCCCTGCCTGTTGCAGGGCTAGCTGGCAGTGCTCTCCAGGCTGGCCACCATCACTCCCCTCAGGCCATGAACAAGCTCACAGCCCCCAAGACAAGGGAGGGCTACTATGCCCAATTTCACAGAGTGGGAGAGTGAGGTGGCAAGACTGGGTACATCTTCAGTGCCCAGGTAATCCAGGTGTCTGACACGGGCCAGTTATGCATCTCCATAGCAAACCCCATCCACGTTATTATATCTGTACTACTGCTGTGCGGTGCTCTGTCTGCACTAGTCTTTGCTGCCCCCACATGGCACTAGACAGGGCTGTACTGAGACTGAAACTTAACTAGTAGATTATTATGTGGCTTCCGAGGGTGCCTGTAAGCTTTTCCAAGAGGTCCTCCAGGCACGAATCCCCTCCAAACCCAGCTGAGATTCTTGTCTGTGTGTAACACCCACACGTGCTTGGGGTTGTGCATGGCAAAGTGTGTTCTGGTTTCATGTTTCCGTGTATCTTGTTTGTGCTGTACATTGTGCCTTTTCTGGGACTGGAAGAGGATCACCTTCCCTCCCCCTCATTGTGTCCAGACCATTGTCTTAGGCTAGGGACAGATATTCAAAAAGCTAGAGCTGGAATTGATTCAACTTATGCAGGTTAGTTTAACTTGCCTAGGTTGAACCAGTTTGCAACAGTACAGGCATTCCCTCTGGACTGAGGCAATGTGGGCACATGCTTCTGCCCTGTGCTGGATCTCTGGCTCCAGCTCCCGGACACCTTGGAAGGTGAAGGCGGCCAGGTGGAAGGTGTCTAGGGGCTGCA